AAGCTTCGTATTTTACAGAAGCAAGCATTCAATTTTTTATTCTAAATATCTTACACCAATGGGCCAAGTACAAGAACAGATGTCATCTTTATACTGAACTGGAGAAATAAACTTTGTTAATACCATATATTTACATATGCTATTCAGATGTATCATTTAGACCGCTGGCAGTTCTAAATATGAACAATGTTTCCCTAACAATTATTTTGTACATAGCTATTAAATAATTTGTGATTAATACTAAGTATAACTTCAAAGACATGTCATGGTCTGGAAGTTTGGACGGTCGACTCGCAATCTATATGTTTGATGTTTGCCCTTCAGGGATGATGAGTATAAAAATATCTTGGCTAATACAAAATATCTGTGCTCATCACGGGTATCGAAACCCAATATTTAGCGTTTTATGCCTTACAGACTTACCGTTGAGCCACTGGGGGGGGGGGGGAACTAAAATATTCGCATACCTATCTACACACTTCTTATTACAACTTAGAATAGTTCAACTCAACTGAAATTACATGCTCGTTAAATAAATGTTTAGTAAAATCACGCATCAAAAGGGGTGAAGCTTCTAACAATGTTTAGTTTGAAACATATGTATACCACTGAATGACTAACTACCTCTATGTCTAGATCAACATGCCTGCATTTATCTCTATTGTCATTTTATCGTGTTCTTATCATCATTTTATGTTCGGAAAGGGATGGTAATTGGAAGTTTGCGTGATCGCTACGAAAGTATATTAAGAGTTTTAATAACGAATTTTTGAATAACAAAGGACCACGTGCTTGAATGGAACAATAACGTGCTGGGTTCGTTAGGGATTAATATTGACTAAATTATGCATTCAAAAGTCACTGTGCGATTGAAGTTTGTTGTCATATATATAAAACTATAAAAAATTGCGAGCCCTTGAAAAGGGTTAGTTAATGTATTTCTTTATACCATACTGCCCTGAGTGCTACATTGAATGATACATTATATCTAGTTTTAAAAGACACCGGAGTATCTCCACTTTTGGCGAAATCACGTGTTTTTTTGTTGTTTTTAGCGTTTTTTTTTAAATATGTCTGGAGAGGGTTACGTCAAGCATATTTTCAGACAGGAAGTAAATATCAAGTGATCGTACTAAACATTTATTCATTTGATTGATTTGTTTGTTATTAAGCACAAAGCTATACAATGAGCTATCTGTGCCGTGCTCATTGCAGGTATCAAAACCCAATTTTAGCGTTGTAAGCCCTCAGGTTTACAGCTGGGGGCCACTGATAAGCTCCAAATTACGAAACCCAACAGAATAAGATGCAAGCTTAAAAATGGTTTGCAAGAAGTCTACTACACAGCAATAAGTGACCTATAAGCTGCAGTTATTATAAAACTAAAATTCAGAGTTAAGTCCGTGCAGCGGACACGGCACAGATAACTCAACTTTCAGGAATAAGCTAAAGTTACGCGCGAGTAACAAACTTTTCTTACATAAACCCAAAGTCAAGTCTCCCAAAACCGGTCGAAGGTGTCTGTTCAAACAAACAAACAAACACACAAGTGATTAGGAACATGACGCTGGGTAGAAGAAACCAAAATCACACGTAAAGAAATAAACTTAATTATTGCTTTTAATCTTCCTCTTATTCAAATCACCTGGTGGTTAGGGCGCTCGACTCGCGGGATCGAAACCCCGTCTCCGAACATGCTCGGGTCAGCCGTGGGAACGTTATAATATGACGGTAAAAGAGTAGCCCAAGGGTTGGGGGTGGGTGTTGTTGATTAGCTACCTTCCCTCTAGTCTTTCACCGATAAATTAGGGATGGCTAGTGCAGATAGCTCTCTTGTAGCTTTGCGCGAAATTCAAAACAAACCAAACCTGTTATTTAGTTGTTACCATGTAACGTAATTACTCTACACACATGGCATGATGTCTGCTAAAAAAATACAAATACTCTGAACTGAAGTTGGGAATGATTTGATTTGTAAAAATAATGATTTTTATTCCACTTTAATAACCCATCATCACATGTATTATACATGATCTAATCAAAAACACCTTAGGTAAGAAAAAAAGGTGCGGCCAAAAAAGGATTAAGTGTGCGACTTAAAGGAATGAAACAAAAATTGGCGACCAAACTGGTAGCTATATTTATAGCACTGATAAGAATTTTACACCAAATATTCATTCATTAGTTAGCCAGACCGTGTTTTTTGTTCAACTTGGGGCATGATGGTGGGTAAAACAAAATAAGTTATACTCGAAAAAATAGTGTTATCTGTGGATAATTATCTTGCATTTTTTAAACCAATGAAACACAGTCGTGTTTAATGAGTTTCATCAACAAGATAGATTTAATCTAATTATTGGGGAAGGAATGTACTAGATGAAGGTTAGACACCATCCTTTCTTCGTGTGAAAATTTTTTTGACACCATCCTTTCTTCGTGTGAAAGTGTTTTTTGACACCATCGTTTCTTCGTGTGAAAGTATTTTTTGACACCATCATTTCTTCGTGTGAAAGTATTTTTTGACACCATCCTTTCTTTGTATGAAAGTATTTTTTACACCATCCTTTCTTTGTGTGAAAGTTTTTATCCTTTCATTACGTTAGAAACTTGTGACTTTTTTAAAATCATAATAATTTAAGATTTGAATTATTACTCAGTTTTCAACTTATGTAAAACATAATTAAGTCTTACAAATATTTTTGAAAGCTTCACAGACAATCCAAAGATTCAGAGAAGAGAAAACAATAATTGCAGTAAATGAAAACATTGGAAACTGGAGGGGCACTCAATGGAGCGCAGATCATATTCGACCCTAAAAAAAATAAGAAAAAGTGTCCGTATGTCCGTCGTTATCAACCGACACTAGCCATTTTTGGCAAGACAAAATTTATGCAAATCTGCCAAGTTTGATCAAAATACGATCATTTTTGACTGAATTATAGAGCAAAAATAGTGTAAGAATCGGTCCCCCCATGTTACCAGAAAAGAATTTTTTGGATTTTCGTGACCTTGCTTTGACCTTGACCCCAAACATTGATAATTTCTAAAATGGGTCATAGACCAAATATATACCAACATTCCTCCAATTCCATTCAACCGTTATTGAGAAATCATGCTGACAAACACACACAAACAAGGGTGAAAACACAATCTCCGTTACCTTAGATGGCGGAGGTAATAAGTGAGCTGTTTTAAGATTCAGAGGATCTGGATTTATAGGGATAAGCCATTCAAACAAAACGTTTTTAAAAGGTGCAGATAATTTAGAAAGAAATATAATATTTTCTGTAACAATCAGACATTATTGTTATGTGTTCGCTATTAAATATTTTACCAACATTAGGACTAACATGCAAACTTTGCGAACTAAATAATTCTAGTGTATACTGGGCGGACAAAATTAACAATACAGTTGTTTCATTTAGAACACAGTTTAATTTCTAACTGTTACTCTGAAACAAGTAATAATTAAAGTGGTTTCAATTGTCTTTATAGTATGTTCTTGTTTGTTTGTTTGTTGTTTTTTTTTTAATTTTGC